AGTGGCAAATAAGCCTTATTTTTTATCGTTGAAAGTTTTTATGAGTGAAATTAAGTTGTGGACATGGGTCGGAATGGAAAATTCGACTCTAAATGATCGATTAACCCAATAAAGAAATTAATACATCGGTATAAGACAGTATGTCAAGTGGAGTTAACATCATTTAACACAATTTGACGTTTTTATAGTTTTGGATCTCATTATGGCATGCAAGTACGAGTAACGGACACAATTGGAGCAAATTACGACAGAATTCCCCATATACACAACGAACAATAGTAACGTTTAATTTATATCTTTTTTTTTTTAATTTTTGCTTGTATGTCAGTGACCTGTAGCATTACAAGTAAAGTTCTTGAACTGAGATTTGTTTGTGAAACAATAATCATTAGTTAATAAGAAAAAAAAGCTCTGCATTTTTTATTTTCGTCCCACGTAGATTGAATAATGAGGAAGGTATAGAAGCCCCTGAGACAGCTACAATCAAGAATTAGGTGGTAATGAAAACTTCTATCTGACAGCTGGATTCGATATGGCCTGGCAAAAGAGGGGTACTGGCAGGACCTACAATAGTTTGTCCAATCATGGGATTGTCATTGATCATGATAGTAAGAAAATCATATCTTACGGTGTGAGAAGTCGAGAAGTAAGGACTGTCGATTTTGCAAATTAGGTCACACACCCCTTGATCATGATCGTCAACAAAACTTTGATGGATCTGCAAAAGCTATAAAGTCAGGTTTAGCTGTCAAGCTCATCACAAAGAACCAGCTCTTTGATAAGGAAAATGTTGACCTATCTATTTTAATTGGCGATGAAGATTCGAGCACGATTGCAGCTGTTCGTTGGGAGGCTGGACATGAGATAACTAAATAGTCTGACTATAATCGCACGTTTAAAAACTTTAAGAACGCATTATATGCTATAAAACTAGCTCCAAACCTTATTCAATATTTTTCAAAGTATTTTTCATATGCAGTAAAAAAACAAGGGAAACGCTGACAATATTAAATGTGAGCTCACGGCTATCGTATCTCATTCATACGAATCACACGATAAATGTGGGAGCTGGTGCACTTTTACGTTTAATAACAATTATGTTTACAAAAATCTTCTAAATTGAAAACCATTGGTCGATTAAAACTTCTTTATCTCTTTAACTCAGATATTTTCTCGGTATGCAAGGTGTGCTGAGAAATTTGTCGAATGTGGGTCTACTCAAGGAAACGAGTCTGCAAATAATATTATTGCTTCCAAAAATTTTAAGGCTTAACATTACGTGGATTCAGAGTCTTTGAACTATCGAGTGGCTGCTGATGTCAGTCTAAAGAATATTGGACCTATGTACTTTAATGGAATAGTCAAAAAATTAAACCTTTTATTAGGAAAAGAATCGAAAAAATTTAGGGAAACAAAAAATCTTCATAGAGAAAAAATTCTGCACTGAAAAACAATGATATCAAGAAACGTATATCCTTATTAAAAAAGAGTAGGGCACACAAAACTGTATTAAAAGTTCGAAAACAAGGCACTAAATATAAGTCCAGCATATATTTCCTTAATTCATCACATATTGTCAAAATAATTAGTAGACCTCCTTCTTCGACGATAACCTCAGACTGTAAAATAATTTATTTCGATTTATAAGCAACTGATATTTATCTTGTAAACGATCAAATTATTTAAGTATAAATCATCTCTTGAAAAAACTATTTTATCACAATGTTGTCAGATTTTTTTTTTTACAAGGACATGTATCTTTTTCAAGTTGCTGCCTGCTCTCAAGATGATACTAATTTTAAAGCAAACATTATTCCAACTGTGTCCATTGGGAAAAGGGCATTTGAAATTCATGGCTTGAGGTCAGCTGGCGGTAAACTGTGTTAACATGATGAACTTGTAAGCACTGTATCTGCAACAATTGCGTTTAATCTTTTTTTAAAGTACTTGTTAAAATTTAATCAAAAAATTTTACTCTTGGCACACAACGGTTTTACGTGTCGACAAAAAAGCGAGAAACTAAGGTTTAAAATTTTATCTCTAGCTTACGACTTTCTTCCTGAGGAAAAAGATGTTATATTACATAACGCACAAGAAGACGTTCAAGTTCTTAGTTAATTATCTCAAAAAATAACTTATCTTACTGTGATACAAAATAATATTAAAAGCATTTAAGCCAGTGCATACGAACAAACCTTAAAATGTGATCGAGAGCTATGCAAACTTTTACTTCTAGACTACAAATCTAGTATTTTGAGCGGTATGATAAGTTAATTGTCTAAAGCTAACATAAGCCAATCAGTAATAGTCGACACTTACAAAGAAAAGGGTGCTGATGAATTGAAATATTTATTAAGTCAAACTGTCGATGGTAAAGCTGTAGTTACTAACCATAAGAAAACGTTGCAAAGTATAATAGATATATTTGAAGTATAACTCTCAACTAATATGTTAGTTACTTAACGAATATAAATTTGTACAATGCTAAAAAAAAGTATTATCACTATCATCTCGTGGAAAATATTGATTACAGTTAAACGTCTGTTATAAGTTAATAAATACTTTAGATAAAAGTTTACACATAACGCACAACCATTTACATTCTAAATCATATGGTTTTTTAAGAAACTGCACTATTTTGTTCCGAAGTGAAAAAATATATTTATTTAATTCACTCACAATAAATTTTTGAATACGCTCCTGCTTGGTGCGTTTTTTGCAGACGACATTCTAACCAACATTTTTCTAATCGTGTCTACTAGTGTACATCAGAAGAAGATATCTCAATAAAACTTGTAGCAACCTCTATAATTCTTATGTTTAATTAAAAGAGTGATAGTTAAACTACATGTTTCTAGTTTTTTGTTCATGTAGGAAGTGACTTAAGAGAGTTATGATAAGATTTTTGGTGAAAAAAGTGCCATCTGCATAAGAGGCTCTGTATAAGATGCTCACTTGTAACGCGTTTTACTTAAAATTTTGCGGAGCCACCTATGCTGAAATTTAGCACAGAAGTAAAAAACATACTTATTAACCGTAGATTTCAATTTCATCTATTTCACAAGTACTTCGATAGGTGTGTTGAGCCTCCCCAAAAGCACATGCCCCTAATGAATCTCTATCGATGTAAAAAGAACAGAGAAATCCTCTCCCTTTTCTTAGCGGAGAATAATATGAAGTTGGAATCTCTGGACTACTAGATGGATCAAATTAGTATGTTTGGTTTTAATAATTCTTATGAGTACAAAAAATATTTTTTCAAGGAATCCAATTAAAACAAATGGATTGAAATACTTTTAATTGCTCAGTACTGTCAACTAAAATGCTACAAAAATGGTAAGAATGGCAAAAACCAGTTTTCTTCGTCTAAAGAAAAAATACAGCTTCTACAAAAAAACAGTTTTGCATAAGAAATATACACGATAAAAAAACAAAGACAATATACCCTGGATAAAAAAAATCAGACCAGTGGATCACTTGAAAATTGCGAGAAAATCCTTTTTTGCAAGATCTTTTCATTGAATATCTCGGATACTCAAAATGCTAGAGGAGTTAAATTTTTATACGCTGTCAGTATTATGATCTTGAAACTGTAGTTGATTTTTTAAATCAAAATGTTGATAACCCATTTGTAAACCATTAACGTTTGCAGTAAATAACTTTTTGTTTCTGTGACTGAGAGGGGGTTACAAATTTTGAGAGAGGTTATAATCAGCTCCTGCGGATTAAGGAAGAATCACACTTTCAATATCTAAATTTTCAAATCGTTTAAAAAATCTGCCGTTGTTAAATCAATTAATAAAGAACAAGCTCTTCTTGTGCGAGCAGTGGTGGTGTGACGTCACTGTAGGCCAGTCAATGGAGCTCTGGGATAGACAGTTTATAGCCCAGAGTTACTTTTCGATGTTATACACATTTGTATGAAGATTACACGGAAAGATACATTGTTTTGCGAAATTACCTTTGTGTAATTTTGTACTTCCAAATTTATAACAATTGACAAAATAATAAACAATTAATTAATATTAATTAAAAATAGTTATGGCACTAATTACAAATTTTTTCTTGGTTATATAGAAAATTATGATGTTTATGACTCCAACAACAGCGAGCAAGAAGAAACTCATCTTTTTTCTCCTTTTTGGGTAGGAGCTTTTTCAAGTCTAGATTCCATAGTAGGAAGGCGATGCTTCAAACAATAACACTGATGTGATGACGTCACCTCATGTAATAAGGAACGCAAGATGGTGGCACAACTTTTAGCCAAAGTGCCGACAGTAAATTATAATGTTTATGACTCCAACATCAGTGAGCAAGACGAAATTCATCAAATAATAAAACCAATGGCTATTGCTGTTGTATATAATTTTTTATTATATCCCCTGACGACGATTTGATGAATTTCATCTTGCTCGCTGTTGTTGGAGTCATGAACATCATAAGTTACTGTCGGCGCTTTGGCTGAAAGTTGTGCCACCATCTTGTGTCCCTTGTTACATGACGTGACGTCATCACATCAGTGTTATTGTTTGAAGCATCGCCTTCCTACTATGGAATCTAGACTTGAAAAGGCTCCTACCCAAAGAGGAGAGAAACGTCGTCAGGGGATATAATAAAAAATTATATACAACAGCAATAGCCATTGGTTTTATTATTTGATGAACTTCGTCTTGCTCGCTGTTGTTGGAGTCACAAACATTATAATTAACTATCGGTACTTTGGCTGAAAGTTGTGCCACAGTCTTGTGTTCCTTGTTAAATAAGGTGACGTCATCACATCAGTGTTATTGTTTGAAGCATCGCCTTCCTACTCTGGAATCTAGACTTGAAAGGGCTCCTACCCAAAGAGGAGAGAAACGTCGTCAGGGGATATAATAAAAAATTATATACAACAGCNATTTTTTACTTAAGCATTTATTGAGACTTCTTACCAGACCAAACCTAAAATCAATCAAACTTACCACGTAGGAGAAAAGTTGTCAATAGACTTCATTTAAAAAAAAGTAAGTTTTTAACAACACAACACTACAACAAAATATTTCGTTAGCTCGAGCAGCACGCAATACTGAAAGTTCGTTCTCGAGCAGCTGACGAAACTCACACGCGGGAAAAGCGTAGTTTCCGCGAATAATTTTTCGTGCTTGTTGTTTTTTGATTTTTAGTTGGTGAATGGAAAAACTTAGAGGTCACGTAGAGATGTTGTTGTATGTGGCTTACATATGCTCAGGATGGTATCTGATGCAGTCTATGAGGTCCTGCGGGTTGAGCTCCCTCTTGCAAATTCTGTGGATGGCCGTAAACAGGGGAAATCTGTTCTCCATACCCTTGGCGTTCAGCATGTGGTTGACCTCCTCGGCAGTGATGGGACCCTGGAGCTTCTGTCCATTCAGCATGTCCTTCTCCAATTCCTCGATCGACTGAAAATGAATTTCATTTCGTTTCGTTAAAATTATGTTTTTGCACTTCCAAAAATGCCAAAAGAAAAAAAAATGTACCCGGCCAGTTTTGACGAAAGCCTCGGAGACCTTGCGATTTCTGCCGCCGTAGCAGGTAGTTATCAGGTCGGCAACGCCGCAGCTCTCGAAGAAGGTCGAAAGTTTACCTCCCGGGAAGAAAACATCGACAAACTTGATCATCTCCATGAGACCCAGCCTGATGACGGCGGCTTTGGTGTTGTCGCCATACCCGAGACCATCCACAAAACCAGCGCCGCAAGCGACAATGTTCTGCAAATTGCAAATTGAATTGTTGAAAAACTAATTTTTTTAGAATTAAGAGTTAGCAAATCAAGCGGTACCTTGAGTGCACCACAGCACTCGACGGAATCGACGTCTTCGGCGATCACTACTCGGAAGTCTTTGGTTTGGATGAGATCCTTTAATATTGCCGCCTTATCCTTGTCCTTGCAGCCTTTAAGTGACAAATAAAAAAACCACATCGTCAGACTTTTGAAAGATGAGCTCTTTTGCCGACACATTGGCTTGGAAATATACGTATCACGTGACGCGCACGTGTCGGTTCTGCTCGTAAATACTCGACCATATACATGTATTATAAACGAGACGAGGAGAGGGCGAAACTTGTGCTGCTTCGTACATACGTAATGTATTGTGCGACCGCTGTACGCCTCATCCTCTTTGGAAAGGAAAAAAAAAAAAATTGTGTTTTTATTAGGCTTACCAATGGTCGTTTCACAGAACTTTCCATCGGCCACCTCGTTCGCCAAATTCGCACCCATCAAGACTGAGCAGGGGATGCCGAGTTGTCGAGTAATTATGTGAGATATGAGCTCGATGCCGCCACCGTCTTTCTGGTCGAATCCCTGTTGTGAACCAAATTGTTCGTTTATTTTTTTGTTCAAGGGAGCAAAGCCAATGATAAATTGGTCATCATTACCTTGATCAGGGATAGTCCTACTGCGTTGTCCTTGATCTTTCCGTGCAAGGTGTCGCATATCCTTGGGATGAACTGGTGAGGTACAACGAAAATAAGGATGTCGGCTTCCTTGGCTGCGTCCACTACATCGGGCACTGCCACCTTGAAACATCATAAAAATTAATTGTTTTTTTTTTAGCTCCTCTAGTTCTCATTTAACCACTAGATAAGAGAGAGAAAACCAGAGATGTGGAGCTGCTGCTGGGGCTTCTCTGGCTCTCGCTTCGAAGTCGGTTTAAAAAGCAGATGACAGGGGCGTTTGCGCTGCTAGTGGGGCTCCTCAAGTTCTTAGTATATGGCTGTATAAAAAGGTGGGCTTTGGAGAAGCTGAAGCCAGTGGCGGCTCTCAGCTCCTTTTAACGAATACAAGGGTACGAGCCAGAAAATATGTTTGGATAACTAAAGTAATAGCTCAATATGTCCTTCTTCTTCGACTAAACATTTGAGACGTCTTCGCATAAAATTACATGTGTTCCTTACCTATTGGGGTGCAATGGTAGCACATTCTCTTCTTATTCTAGCTATAATGTTTTCTGCTGTCGTTGGTGGTTCTCCGTAACATCTTTCTTTCAGAACGCCCCAGAGGCAATAATCGCACAGTTTTGAATTTAAAGATCTAGGAGGTCACAGATACGGTCTTGCTATACCTATCAATCACCATGGAATCATTTGATTCAGGCAAACAGTGGCTCGAGCTCTGTTATGCGAGGGTGCACTATCTTATTTCCACCAAATATCTCACAACCTGATAGGATTATTTTCCAACAATTCTGGCAGAGTGTTTTCCAAAAACTGATAATAATCCCTACCAAGCAAAGTTCTGTCGAAGAAGTGCGGCCCAACGAGACGGTCACCGAACATTCAAAATCAATCATTTACCTACCACCTTATTTGGTTTTTAATTTCTAAAGCTTAAAAAAAGTTTTCTTGACTCCAACTGCGATGGTTCTGAATATTTCACATCCCTCGATGAGTAAAAACAGACTTATCAGTGAATCACACTTTTCGAATGTAATCAGTATCACGTCGGATCCTTCCGATCATCTATCTCGCACATCTAAGTCTTCTTAACTCATCTACGTCATAAGGAGCCTGAACTTTTTTAAACCTATATGGGTATCTCGTTTCTCCGGCAATATCCTGGACAGTTTCTGGGTTTCCAATTAAAGATTAAATTACATGTAATTTTTTCATAGGTTTGTTTTATAAAAAACTGTCAACTTCCAAGCAAGAGCAAGTATACTTTGTACAAGTCGTTCTTCTAGACTCCTTTCAACTGCTTTAAGCAAAGGGCCATCCCTCACTGGTCTTTGCCCTTCTACATGTGGCCTATTAATAACGCTAGCTTCCTGGTATCCTCTAAATTTAGTTCAAATTTTCGTTGGTATGTATGTTGTAATGCACATTTCAATTAAACCTTTTTTTTCATTTTCATTTAAAAAATTTTTGAAAAATTTCATACTGATAATTTTATTTACAATAATCACGAANCTTTTATCATCGTTTGTGTATGAGTTGTTTTTTTTTTTTTTTTCCTTCTACATGGAGAATTCTTATGAGCTAAAATCAACGTACGATTAAATTTTAAGACTTTCCATTCGCGCTGCACCGAACGGATGAATAATAATAAAAAAAAAAAAAAAAAAAAAAAAAGTAGAGACCGTAAAGACAAGAAACCGATTACGCGACATCAATGACTATACTCGCGCGCATACCAGTGCACACCTATGTACTTATAATTATACAGTTGAGGCATTACATGGGCATGCATGTGCACATAATATAATGAGAGAAAAAAAAAAGACACGAGCGACAGTGGCCTTGGCTGTTAATTCAGCGACTATACGAGATATAAGGATTTGCAAATACCATTGAGTACAGCTGGTAAAGGGAAAAATCGATTTCTCCCCCCCGCGAATATCGATTATAGCTATACGCGTATAAAAAAGCACGATCGCGCCTTTCTATATGCTAAAAGTACTCTAGAAACGAGTGTTTTTGCTACATTTTGACTAAACCATTATAAATCATGAACGAAAGCAATTGTGCAAAATATATACGCGTTGCGAATCGATGAAGCGCATACACCCCAAGATACAGCGATCGGGAGGGTCAGGGTCAAGTGCGAGCTTCCCTCTCCACCGTCCAAAGGTCCACGTCGGGCAAACCGTGTACACCCGCGAAACGGCAGTATATATACGTCGTTGTCACCTCCGACCATCTCTCGTAAAATAAATTTAATCGGTTGGTATGCACGAACGTCAATCACTTTTCTGCCACGCCACTTCACCTGCATTGTATAACATTGGTAATAAACAAAGACAAGCTGTGAAAAACCCTATACAATGTACAAAGTTACGTAACTGAAAATAAAGGAAAAAAAGATACTCACGACGTTCTCGGGTAGCTTGTGTCCCGGTAGGTATTTGACGTTAACGTGTTCCTCGTTGATGATTTCGGTGAGCTTGCGGCCGTCGATCAGCTCCTCGTACACGTACATCGTCACGCGATCCTCGAAGGTGTCGAGGGCGGCCGCGTTTGCCCCGACGATCTTGGCGATCGCCGAGCCCCTGCAGGAAAAAACAACAGTTTTTTTTTTTTTTTTTTTTTTTTTTTTTTTCCAAACTCGCGCGCAAGTACATGTAACTCTTTGGTGTAAAACTGTTATTTCGAGAAAATTAGCCTCGGAGCGGCAAAAACGGAGATACGCGAGTTCAAGGCTGACATCATTGGCGGGAGCGCGGCCTTCGCCGCTAAAAATGATTAAGCTGCCTCTCTGGGCGCCTGGACTCTATATATACGTCACTGTGCGATAACTATTTTCGCACAAATGTCAAAATAAGGGAGCTTTTGCTCGCTTTTTTGTCCGAGCAACGGTTTTTTTTTTTTTTTGTTTTTTTTCTTTCCACAAGATTCACACCTGATGTGTATACACGTGTGTGGGTCGGTGATGGTGCGAAATCAATGCATCCTTGCCCACATAGCGAATCAAGTCATAAGACACACGACGCTACTTACGTAGTATGTCTACGATACATTTCTCATATTATATGTTATCAGAGCAGCGAGTGTTTTTATTCTATTTTTTTTCTGACGTAATTGTTTACTTGTTACGTCACAATGGAATTTGTAAATACTACTTTAAAAATATGTTTGGGTGCTATTTAATTGATTTTTTTAATCGTTTACAAAAGCTGCTCTGATGGATAAAATACACCCAAGTGCGAGGAAAGTATGATTCCAGTCAGCTGCGATAAGCGCAGTCGGAATGTTTCGGGCGGATATCGGCGATAAAAAAAAAAAAAAAAAAAAAAAAAAACGTTATCGACATCATTTACATACGCGCACACACGCGTACGATTGTAATTTAATGATATTTCAAACGAGTTTCGTTGGCGTGTGATTTTACCGGTTATCGCCTGTAAATAACAAAAAAATCCTTATCGGAGTTGAGTGAAATCATGATTGAAACACTCGTTTTACATTGGCGTTCACGATTTCATCGGAAAAAATGTTTATTTGCTCACACTCAGCGGTGCAGTTTTTCGCGCTCGAATTTCGTACGTAACAATAGAGTACTGCAGTATCCATGTATACCCACGCGGTACTGTATAGGCCGTCGAGATAGAGCTACTCTCCAAAAATTTCATCGTAAATACACTCTAGATTGAATAACATTCAATAAAAGGATCTCTTGGTGAGTTTTTCCCGAGCTTTTCTAACATGAATGAAAATGCCCGTGCGTCCCACGAACTGAAAGCGCATTCCAACAACCAAGTCGACTCCAAAAACATCGAGACAACAACGCTACACTATCCCCTTGCCATGTATATAGGTACATCTTTCAGTCACACCGTGCACCGAAGGGAAATAAAAATACTGCAGCGCTGTATGGTGTCCCGCGTCCTAACCTCGAAGAAGAGATAAGCAAGAAAAAAAAGAACAAAAAGCTCTTGCTCCAAAACCGACAGAGAGAGAGAGAGAGATCAATTCGAACTCACCAATTGCCGGAGCCAACGATGCACACGCTTAGTTTATCTGTCATTTTTGGAGTTTGTTCCTCGGAAAACCTGCCTATTTATCGGTTTGTGTGCAGATAAGAGGAGAGGATATACAATAAGCAAGTTGGTGGTATGCTCCGAAATGTGAGGATGGATAGGAGAGAAAAACAGTGTGCGCGCGCGACGGTTACGAAGAACGAAGGACGACTGGAGAGTCTTGCGCGTCTACAAGCTAAGTAATGCGGGGGAGAGCGCGTGTATATTTGTGGCTCCACGTCTATACTTTGCTCTCTTTTATCATCGTTTGTGTATGAGTTGTTTTTTTTTTTTTTTTTCCTTCTACATTGGTGGTGCGCGCACACGTGCTTGCGCTCTTTCTCTTTTTCCGCTTCTTCATCAGCTGTAAAAGCTGGGGATGGATGGAAGAAGTGTGGAGCTTTTTTGTGCCCAACAGAACAGTGGAGCGCGGAAAATTCAAGCCAAGTGTCAGAGATAACATGTTGTTATTGAGTTGCAGTGGAAAATCAGCAATCAGATTTTTTTTTCTGATTGGAACCGTGTAACCTCTGAGACAGCTTTTGGGATTTACATCATTACATGGATGAATAAAGGAAAGTATAGTTCTGAATATCAATGAATTTGCCGGCTTGAAAAATTTGGATGATTTTGAAATGAAGTTACCGACTGCCGCTAGAGCGGGTTTGTTGGCTTATCAATTGTAAGTGATGTAGGAAACATTATTAATTTTAATTGCTTATCAATGAATGATATATATAACTACAAAGATTTCGTTTTTATCGCAACATACGCGTTTATTTTATATGTTATTATTGTTATTGTTTAATACACACAGATAGATCACGTACAAAATAATGTGACGCAGAAGTAGTTATAAATGAAAATTAGAGCTTACAAACTGAGTTTTTTTTTTTTTAACTTTTTAATTTTAGTAAACATACATACGGTTAAATGGCTGGAAAACATTTTTTTTTCTCGTATACAAGTAAAAATACCTGTATATTTGTTTTCTTGTTTAATAAGTTAAGATTTACTCGAAAGGAAAAATTGCTACTACGAGTTTTAGTAATGAAAAAAAAAAAAAAAAAAAAAAAAAAAAAAAAAAAAAACCGCGCAGTTACGGCGTTACGCGCAATTGAACGCTGAAATTCCGGGACGATCAACAATACCATATTCACATACATATGGAAACGATAAGTCACTCAAAAGGACTGATGAAGCGGGAAAGTATGCGAGATACATACACGCACGGTGAGTATCGGCACACAACGCGGGCAATAAAAGCCGAGGCGCAGTACTGAAACTCTCGCAGTTGCAATTAAGGATTCGGTGTGGGTGTGCGCGCCCGTTCTTTGTTTCTTTGGTGTTCAACACTGTGCTCGCAATCAATATGCGGCTCAACGCAATTGTGCCCAATTTCAAGGCCGACAGCACTCAAGGGCCCATCGATTTTTACGAGTGGCAGGGCGATTCGTGAGTCCTTTTTTGTATTTTTCACTCCCTATAAGTAAGCCGTGCGAAAATCGCTTGTTCATAACTAATCATATCAACTGATCGAGCATTCCATTATCTCGGAATTACTAAGTATCGTGTCGTTGCAATTTATTGTTATTATACCCACGAANATGACACATTTCCATAGAAAACCTGCATTGAAAACATGAGGTAAAAAATCAATTCAACGCAGTTTTCCTACACCGATCGACACCCCCGTTTTTCAAATATCGAGAATATACTCTTGTACATTTTACGTATATTCCGGCAGTATCGCATGTAAGTATTATTTATTACACATATCCCACTGCTCTCGAGCAAAAGGTGTATAATCGTCCCTTCTTTACCCAAGAGCAAATTTTGAATATGTTATACTTCATCTGTCACTCGTTTTCCGAAAACGAAAAGTGGCTCAATCGTCGTGGAGGAGCGACCTCGCGGACAGATTGCGATCCTCGATCGGTATCTCCCAACGGTTCTCCCAGGTGTCGTTCTCGTACTCAACGTCCTCGGCCATACTCGAGCACATGGGCAGTCTCGCGGCGCGCTCACAACGCCTGGACACCGACCAGTACACAAAGTCCTTCGGGCACTTGTACAGGTAGCCCTGGAGCACTCGATTGGCGTCGCGCTCGCACTTGTAGAATATGTTGCTGCAGCCGTCCCGGTGCGGGAAGTGGCCCTCTTCCGGGCACAAGGTCTTCGACGTCACCTCAACCTATATAACATATACGCACAAAGTGGTGAGTCATTATATATTTTTTTTCGAATATACACATCATAATCACGAAATTGAAGAAAAAATTGCAAATACTATATACTCACAGGAGACGTGGCTCGGCGCTTGAGGCTCCTGCGGGTCGTGCGTTTATCGGCTATTCCCCCCGTGCACTTATCGCTGCTGTCGGCCTCGGCGAGGCACTTGTTCTCCTTTTCGTCGAATATCAAGCCCTCGGGACACTGGAGCAGCAAAAGCTTGATTTGCATGGCGTCGCCCTGAGTGCACTGGTAGAATAGGTTGCAGAGCTTGGGGTGCCGTTTGAACCCGGTGGGGCAGACGAGGATGATCTGCTCGTCCGTGAGATTGGCCGGTGCGGGACAGTTGTCGGGCGTTGGTGGTTTGTCGCTGGTGCTCGGCATCGTGGTCATCATGTCCGTCGATGGGGTCGTCGTGGCGGCGTCGGTGCTCGTCGGTGCCGTCGTCGATTGTTGTTCCTCCGGTGCCGTGGTCATCGTCGTCATTTCCGAGCTCGACGGCTGCGTGGTAGCTTCCGTGCTGCCAGCTGTTGTCATAGCTTCGGTGCTTCCGGCAGTTGTCATGGCTTCGGTGCTTCCGGCAGTTGTCATGGCTTCGGTGCTTCCGGCTGTCGTTGTTTCAGCCGAAGTCGGGGGCGACGTCGTTGAGTCGGTTTCGGAGGTCGTCGTACCTTCGGAAGTACTTGGGGAGGTGGTTGCGTCGGGGCTTGTCGTCGTACCCTCGGTGCTACCTTCCGTCGTTCCAGAAGTTTGGGGCTCGGTGGAGGAGCCCTCGGTGGATGGTAGCGTGGTACCTTCGGGGATTGGGGTGGGCGAGCCGGGTGTAGTTTGGGCCTGTGTCGTGCTCTGGGAGCTCGTGGTGGCTGGAGACATACTGGGCGTAGGCGTAGGAGATTGCGTGGATTGTTGTGGGGCAGGTGGTTGGGATGCCGGTGGTGATACGCCACCTTGGCCATTGTCACAGTCGCGGGCTGGGTACACGGATTCGGGGTAGTTGCAGACGTCGATGCTCGGATCGAATATCGTGCCTGGGGGACAATCGAAGTGGAAGACGTTGAAGCCCCTTCCGTTGTTCACGCAGCGATAGAACTTGTCGCAACGAGTAGGATTGGGGTAGAAGCCGGCTTCGTTGCACACTATCGTATTGTTTTTCTTCGGTGGGTTGCAATCTGGATTGGACCCAGAGTCGGTGGGAGGTGTCGAAGGTGACGTAGGACCTGCCGTCGGCGCAGGTGACGTTCCACTTGTGCTTGCTGGAGTTGCCTCAGTTTTGTTTTCTTCAGGTTTTTGGGATGTTGAGGGTTGCGGTGCTGGCGAGGATGACGTTTCAGTCGGTGGTTTTGATGGTTGACCCGGTTGACCTGGTTGTCCCGGCTCACCTGGTTTTCCCGGCTCACCTGGTTGACCCGGTTGTCCTGGCTCTCCTGGTTTTCCCGGTTCACCCGGTTGTCCTGGCTCACCTGGTTGACCCGGTTGTCCTGGCTCTCCTGGTTTTCCCGGTTCACCTGGTTGTCCAGGCTCACCTGGTTGACCCGGTTGTCCTGGCTCTCCTGGTTTTCCCGGTTCACCTGGTTGTCCTGGCTCACCTGGTTGTCCCGGTTCACCTGGTTGTCCTGGCTCACCTGGATGTCCCGGTTCACCTGGTTGTCCTGGCATGATTTCATTTTGGGACGAGCCGCAAGACGCTACAAGGTAAGCATGGTTGCACGTGAGCAGAGATTGGTCCCAAGCTGTTCCCGGGGCACAGTCAAAATCGTATTTGGTGAAGCTCGGAGCATTGCCAACGCATCGATAGAATTTGTGGCAATCGTTAGGATTGGCGAAGAATCCTTCTCCTGTGCAACTACCACTTGGTTTCTGTTGAGAACCAGAGCCCGGAGCGGGAGGCTTTTGACCACTTGGTGGAGATGTGGTCTGTCCAGGTTGTTGAGTTGGTGGTTGACTCGAAGGTTGAGGCGATGTGGTGCTTTGACCAGTAGTTTCTGTCGAAGGCTGCGTTACTTGTGGAGTTGAAGGTGCAGGCGTTGATTCGGTGGGTGGCTGAGTGCTAATCGGTCCCGAAGTAGATTGACTCGAATCGGTAACTGGAGGAGTAGGGGAAGCGCCTGGTGATGAGGTTTGTTCATTTCCAGGTTGCGTAGAAGGTCCTGGCTGCTGAACTCCAGGAGTTGTGGTAGTGCTGGGCTGCTCTGTTTGTGGACCAGCTCCAGTGCTCGGTCTCTGACCTCCGGCAGATGAATCAGTCTGTGGTAACTGTCCTGCACCACCGCAACTTGGCACGGCACTTTCGTAGTTGCACGTTTGCAATTGCTGATCCCAAGCAGTTCCTGCTCCACACTCGAAGTCGTATTTACGCAATGAGCCGTTTTCATCGACACATCGGTAAAATTTGTGACAATTTTCAGGATTGGGGTGGAAACCCGCTTCAGTGCAGCCATTTGAGCCGGTCGGTGGACACGGCCTTCCACCAGTTCCAGCTGCTCCAGTCTGACCATTACCACCAGAAGGAGGTGACGGTCTGCCTGCCGATGGAGGCCAATTTCCCGGTCTACTTGGTGCTGTAGGTGGAATGTATGCAGGGCCTTTGGTGCTCTGAGTAGGTGGTGACTGTGTTGTCGGCCGTGTTGGCGCTTGCGATGGAGGATTTGGTGGTTGCGAAGTGGCCTGCGTCGGTGGTTGTGTGGGTCGGGACGGAGGATACATTGGTTTCGATGGCTGGCTCGGTTGGGACGAGTCCACCGATGGCTGATTTCCAGATCCACATCCTGGCACACTGCTCTCGTGATTGCACGTCTGTAAACTCTGATCCCAAGCTGTTCCGGAGCCACAAGTAAAGTCGTGTCTCTGCAACCGCGAGCCGTCACCGACGCACCTGTAGAACTTATGGCAATCGTCCGGATTCGCAAAGAATCCCTCTTCCGCGCAACCCGGCGAATTCCCACAAGCTCCACCCGAGCCCGCGCAACTCGGTGGCTTCTCCGGCCTCTGCGACTGATCCACAGGACTTGGGGTCTTAGGACCTTGCGGCTGTGACGACGTGCCTGGGTACTGAGGTTGAGACGTCCCTTGGGGTCTCTGAGTCCTCGGCGGTTCAAATGTAGGCTGAGGTCTTGGCGGTGGATATGGGTAGCCAGGGTTATGAGCCGGGTAAGAGGGTCTCTGGGGACTTTGAGGTCTCTGCGGGCTGTACGGACGATTCGGGGCCTGAGGTCTCTGTGGCGTAGCCGGACGACTCGGACCTTGGGGTCTCTGAGGCTGGACCGGAGAGCTGGGGTGCGGGGTCGGTAACGTCGGACTCTGCGTTTGCGACGGGTACTCGGGTTTCTGCTGCTGCTGCGGATCCCACCCGCCGGTGTCGCCGTGGTCGATCTCGTTGCCCGGCTCGCAGCACTCGGGCCGGCCGCTGTAATTGGGGTGGACGCAAACGTTGCCGTTCGACGGGGAGAACACCGTGTTCTCGCCGCACTCGAACGAGAACATTGTCAACGGACTGGCGTTGCCAAAGTCGACGCATCTGTAGAACTTCCGGCAGTCGCTCGGGTCCGGGTGGAAGCCCTCTTTTGTACACACGAAGGATCCCGAGCCTTGTTGCCTGATTTTCCTGCCATCGCTGTGAGGGTAGTCGTAAACTTCGTTGTCGTGGAAGCCTTGGAAGAAAACAATCGGCAGTTAAAACCCGTCGACGATAGACCTCGGGACGCGATTGACGTTTTGTCGGAAGCTGCGAGGAAAAAAAAAAAGGGGGAAGAACACGTCGTACGGGGTGGCACGGCAATCGTATTATCGCCGGGTTCGGGAGACGCGAAGAAAATTCCCGGGCGCGTTTTATCTGTGGGGGGGGGGGGCGGCTTTTCTTCGTTTTTCGCCGCTTCGAGCGTGCCCACGGCGCGGGAAACCAGTTTGACGACAACCGCGACGCCCGACCGTAATTGGCAGGAGACGCGGCGTGGTTCATTTGCGATCGGCTCTCGTACCGATTTTCGCCGATCGATAATGTCACGGGGAGACAAGCTCCGCTTAATTTTCGCTATGCAAATCCCACCGCCCGTTGTCGTGTATAATTTAAAAGGGACTCTATCCGTTGCGGATATATATAGCTCCAATGTGATCGGGTACGTGCCGGTGATTAATCGTTTCAATTAAATCCCCGTTTCAACTTGTACTTTGGCGATTAATTTCGATTATCGTTATAGCTACCTCGCAAATTAATACTCACCACACTCGGCCGTTTGGAGGAACGCTATGGTCCCGAGGACGCACAGCAGGTGCAGTGTACCGCGCATGACGTCTATGGGCTCCTGTCACTCCTGGGGAAAAATAAAAAGAAGGTCCATTAGTCGAATAGAAAAATCGCTCGTGAAAAGACGGATTGGGGGAGATTTGATTACAAGTGCCCGGGGGTAGTTGTAACTACTGCGTTTCGCTATTAATGCGATTTATCGCACCCGAGGAATGCTTTGCCGATTGTTTTTGATTATCTTAACACTCATCCGAGAGGCTATCGTTACGTGGATGCGATGAAATATGTATATGTTCAGTTTTTAATGTACCACCACCGGCATAAAAGTATAAATTTGTACGCTCGCGCGTGTCGGGATCGTTCACGCCGCCGACACCTTGTCATCGTTTTACACACGAGCGATTAAACCCGCGCGCGTTAACTTGCTTATTCATCTTTATCTCCGACGAAGCACCTGTATTTTTTTCCTTTTTTTCCTCTTGACGCGTTTGTTATTGGAAACCGGCGGTGGTTTCCCACTTTTGAGGCTCGGTTGGCCGTTTTACGGGGGTGGAATCGCGAATGTCGGGCTTAATGGAACATGGGCCGGGAAAAAGGCCTCGCGATACGTATCGAGAGGCCCTGGCGTTCGTCCAGATGGTATCGGGGCCTTTTTAGCCGGGGCAACGGTGTATGCCGATCATTTTTTTTTTTTTTTTTTTCACGTTTTCCGCGACCACCTCGTTACGAGCTTCATACGTAATGCATGAGACGTGAGCTTTGTTTTTTTTTTTTTGTTCTTAGTATATCGTTAGCAGCTACTTGACGTGTCACTCTAAGCTTAGGCTTATAGATCAGATGGCGCCTGTAATGCGATAAGTATTTTGTTGGAATAAAATGAAGAACGAGATTTTTTTTTTTTTTTTNCCCTGACGGATATATATAAACACACGAATTCCAAGTAAATAATTAAAATTATTCTTTTCACATTTACACGTCGTTCGTTAATGATAATCAGAGATTAACAATTTGACAATAGGCCCGTACAACCTCCTAGAAATTCTCCCACTTAATTAAGTAAGGCCCACTATTTTATACAAATTCAAAGAAACACTGTTGCTACGTGCAGTTAATGTACTTAAATGATAATTAAATAATTAGATCACAGATCAAACATCGTTTCATTCTAAATCACTAGCAGAACCTGCCCAGCAAACACATCCTTGCACAACGCTTAATCAAAATATTTTATATTACACACATATATAATAGTTACTCCATTTGCAATAAAATTAAGTTACTTGACACATTCATAAGCGAGGAATCAGCCATCAACACATCTCGAGCCCTTAAAATAAAAAAATAAAAAAAGTAAAAATCACCACCACTTTCCAATAATAACAACAACCAAATTAACCGACGGTAGTCGAATACACCTCTCGGGTATAATTTATGCGCGCCGGGGCTCATTCATAAACTCGGCCGCCGGGGCGCGTACACTTATAGCACTCAATTACACGAAGCGAGCGAGGTATTGTTGGCAAACAAGGTTTTAATCCACCGATCGATCGTTCATTTGCGTTAATCGGCCGCGTATACATATACATACATATATATATACATAACACTTCTGGATTTCTATCAACCTACCAATTAATCTATTCCCAGTAAAAAAATGATTATTATTTTTTTTTTTTGTTCAAAAAACCTTTTGTCTTTTCATCTAAATAAATTAGGTCCTCTACTTACGATCGTTTCGTCGCAAAGTGTCAAGTTCAAGCGGGTAATGGATCAACAGTCTCGTAGACACACATCTGACACGACAACTGACTGACGGCTAAGACGATACGGATCTCGTTTTATACTTAAGCGTAACCGCGGTATTCCCGAAAACTTGCATCTCTCACGTGGTATTTTGATTCGAAAAAGAAAACAAAAAAAAACTTTTTTTATCACCGCGATGTGTTTTCGAAAATACGGATCATTTCGGTAAATATATATATATATATGCAAATAAACAATACCCAGGAAGTGTCACCTTGCCCGCTCCGGCTAAACATCTTCGAAAAGTATGTAATATAACATAAATAAAAAAAAAACAAGGTGCGTGTTTTCGAAGCCGGCGCCACGTGAGATACGATTCTTTTTTTTTTTTTTTTTTTTCATTATCTCATTGCGCGTAGTGTTTATCGTTGACTCGAGCGAGAAAGTATTAGCAAGTGCAACAGGTAAAAACGTGTATAGTGGGGGGCAAACGATACTTGTATGTTTTTCCCTTTCGCGCGAAAACATTGTTCTCTCGGCGCATCACTCGCGGATTTTACTATCTGCTCGGTCTATCCGTAACAGTAAACCCGAGTCCCACGGGACGAGGAGCGCGAGGAGGGGAAAATGATAAAAATGAGAGCGAAGGGGCCCAGGGAGAGGCAGATCGGCGAGAGATATATAGAGGGAGAGGAGGACGGTGCCCGGCTGGAATTTATATTCGCGCTATCTGGCATCTCCTTTCTTCGGACGCTCGGCTCTACTTCCTAGTTTCGACGGGGGGGGTTCTTCTTTTCCTCGTTTGCAATAAGATCGGCGTGACGACGGCTCGGCGATGCTGGAGCCGCGGTGCATATACCATTAATAATGATCGGACCGGGGCACCATTATTCCAGGGACATTTCAACTCGGTATGAAAAAACATTTATTTTTCCCAAGTGGACTTTTGTTTTGGTCATAGTTTTCATCAATCAATATATTCACTATACGATATGGAGAAAAACATTCTTTTTCTGGCAGATACATTTTAGATATTAAAGTGTATTGTTGAGTATTTCATGAATCGAATATTCAAACACATTTTATTTTTATTCCATACCGATTTTTTTGCTCACTGTTATGAAAATTTTTTTTCTAAATGCAGTGCATTTGTTTGCAGAGACCATTTTTTTCATTCATTAATATTCGCAATATAATATTGAGAACAACATTTTTTTCTGGCAGATAAGTACATTGTAGGTATTAAAGTGTGCAGTTAAGTATTTTATCAATCGAATATTTAAATACTTCAATTTTCTTTTTGCTGAGAAAATTTTTTTATTCATTACATCACTACTCATAATCCAATGTTGATTAAAAATTTTCTAGCAGATAATGGCTATAATTCTTTAGATATTCAATTTTATTGTTAAGTATTTTATCAATAAAATTTTTAAATACTTTTTGAAACACTTTGAATCGTTTTTTCTAAATTAATTATTTCCTGCTCACTGTTATGCACATTTTTTTCCTAAATTTGATGCATTTTTTTACCGAGAAAATTTTTTTATTCATCACATCACTAATCACAATCTAATGTTCGTTTGTAAAATACATCTTGTGTGAAATATTCAAACACGTTAACTCTCTTTCCTTTCAAATATATTGTGATGCATTGTTTTTATTGAAAAAAATGTGTTGAGTAAAAAATGTATTACATTTTAAGCAAAAAATTATGTTACAAAAGCATTGAAAAAATATTCTTGCCCAAGCCTGATAATTATAAAGCAGTGCTAGTATGCATGTATATATGAAAATGATTGATTTTTGGTAAACAGCTAGTTGTTTGGTTACCAGCTTCGTATTGTCAGTCACTTAATCAGCGCGTGCAATCAGATTAAATCAACAATGTGCATACACCGTACAAAGTACGCATGCATTTGGTTATGGAGACACGTTGTAAGATAAGAGTAAAAATTCTTATCGCCGGTTTTTACCGTCACAACAACAACGCTCATAAGGTACACACGAGATCGGCACGTATACGATACATCTATACTCGTCACGCGCGTAACGTGATTGTTTGTTGAAAAAATAGATACGTAAAGTGGGATTTATTTTTGAAACTCAATGAGGAGGAATGTGGCAGGAAAAACCGGTGGCTCTTTACTGTAAATATATCGCGTCTCATCGGAATTATGCAGTTGAATCCGCTGGATAAATAATACCTGAAGCTTTGTTTTTTCTTTTTTTCTCCAAACTGAAAGTCGTTGATCACGCAATAGTTTATTCACTTCTTTTCTACGAGGTATGACAGTGTAACATATTTTTTACAATTTCAGTATAGGACTTTGGATGCATGTACAGCCACGTTATTTCAACCCTGACGGATATATATAAACACACGAATTCCAAGTAAATAATTAAAATTATTCTTTTCACATTTACACGTCGTTCGTTAATGATAATCAGAGATTAACAATTTGACAATAGGCCCGTACAACCTCCTAGAAATTCTCCCACTTAATTAAGTAAGGCCCACTATTTTATACAAATTCAAAGAAACACTGTTGCTACGTGCAGTTAATGTACTTAAATGATAATTAAATAATTAGATCACAGATCAAACATCGTTTCATTCTAAATCACTAGCAGAACCTGCCCAGCAAACACATCCTTGCACAACGCTTAATCAAAATATTTTATATTACACACATATATAATAGTTACTCCATTTGCAATAAAATTAAGTTACTTGACACATTCATAAGCGAGGAATCAGCCATCAACACATCTCGAGCCCTTAAAATAAAAAAATAAAAAAAGTAAAAATCACCACCACTTTCCAATAATAACAACAACCAAATTAACCGACGGTAGTCGAATACACCTCTCGGGTATAATTTATGCGCGCCGGGGCTCATTCATAAACTCGGCCGCCGGGGCGCGTACACTTATAGCACTCAATTACACGAAGCGAGCGAGGTATTGTTGGCAAACAAGGTTTTAATCCACCGATCGATCGTTCATTTGCGTTAATCGGCCGCGTATACATATACATACATATATATATACATATTTATACAATGAAAATTATTTTACAATCACCCGACAATCAGTACAAAAACACAGCCATCATAAAATCACATTCTTCATATTTATACACGCGCAAATGAGCCTCGATGACGTTTACTTTGTTTATCGAAAAATCATCTCGAATATATCGTATGTATGTGCCCTCGAATCCGCAATTTTCTCGCTTTACATATTATATACCCATTGACACTCGATCGATACTATCTCTCTCTCGAGCGCATATTGTCCCAACGCGTCAAATCCAACCGC